GTTGTGACAGTGCACTGCAACATATTTGATCTAATTTATTTTAATTTATCATATTAATATATGTTTAGTAGCTTGTGGAAGTGCGCTCCAAAATATTTGTTGATCTTGTTTATTGGTATTTATTATTTTGATATTATTTATTTAAATATAAATGTATCATTTATTTTTGTATTGTTTTTTCAGTTGAATTATACGTTCAGGGTAATCAACAGTTAAAAAGATACTGTTCAAATTATTATTTGTATTTGTTAATCGCACAGCCCTAATAGACAGTGCTACGTATTCGACTCAGCCACCTGTCTCCTTCACTCGTCTGGTGATTCAGGAGGAAATAAGTCCACGAAGAGTAAACCAAGTGCAGTCATGACAAGCTTACAATACGAGTGGTACAACCATTCATCACTAGGTTTACTAAGATAAATATGAATCTGTTACATAACACTGGCATAATCCTCCATTTGAGAAGCTTAGCGTTTCTGTCTGTGTTTCTGTTACCGAGTGTCAAAGAGCTCTAGATTCAATTCTACGGTCATTTCATAAAGAGAGACTATAGTGTTTTTATATTTGACTGTATTTTAATATGTTTTAATAACATGTGGTCTGACATACATACAGAGGACATGACATAGGAACACCGTTTAACCTGTTAAACCCTGAGCCTGTTTTTCAGGTCTCAGGCTCGAAAATGACATTCCCAGAACAAATGACCATATCTTCCCTTCTAAAAGGGTTAAATTAATAATCTTTTTTCTCAAAGTAATGATAAACCTGTGAGTTGGATGTAGAAAAGTCAGAATCAATATAGATGTTTTTTATTTTAAAGAAAATTCAGAACGTAGTAAAAAAAACTGTAAATTATAGTGTCCGTCCAAAAATTATTTTTTACTTAATAGTGAAAACCACCCTTGGATGATGGGTTAGTAGACTAAACGCTTTAGGAATCCAAAGTACAACATATAATAAGTACCCTGTATCAAGATTGATGCAAAACAAGTGACATTTGACCTTTTTAGAGAGATTTAGCAAAAAAAAAAAACACTTCTGGGGTCATTTGGGTGGATTTTCCATATCTCTGGCCCCCCTTGCTCGATTTGGATGATTGACATCTCTTTTTAACCGTCAGAGCCAATGGAATCGAGGGAAAGTTCCACATACACACACAGCTTACCAAATAAGGAGTGAGAGTGACAAGTAGAAAAACCGGAAGCTGCGCTAACCTCTGGTGGCTACCATTAGCAGCACATTTTTTCTCTCCGATTTTTGCATAAAAATTGAATTATGGATTATCAATATTTTTTTCAAAGAGACAGACACATTATTAACCTATGGATTAACCTTCAGCCGCGTTTTTTCTTGTTTTAATGCCATTGAACACGACTTTTGATCAGAATAACAGCTAAGGTGAGACGATGTCCCGTTTTTGCGCCGTAATGCTACGTGTTATGTTGTCTTGTGTTTGCTTCCCCTGTCGCGAGTTCTGATCGCTCAGTGATGATACTATACCCAGGGGTGCACATAACTGGTACGCAGGTACGCATGCGCGGCAACAATCTGAAATGCGTACCGTCACTTGTGTCACAAAGCGCATTTGCGTACCGACGTTCTTGTGAAGCTAAATTTCCAGAAGGCGGTTAGATCACCGGACGACAGAGTTGGTCTCCGTGTGCACAGACAGGGCTGCTGTTAACGTCGGTCTGTACAGCAGCCCTGCGCTAAAACAGCTGATGACAACGTTCACACGCCCCGCGGTCACGAAGCGCTGTACTCCACCCCCCCCCCCCCGTTAACAATCGCGAAGCGCTGTACTCCACTGTCACCCCCCCCCTTCCCCCGTTGACAATCGCCAGAAGTTGGAGTACCAAACACTGACTCCAGGTACTCATCTGAGTACCTCACTGAGAAAGTTGTGTGCACCCCTGACTATACCTATATAATCTGTGGAGTCTCAGCTTTAATCGGATATCCTGTATGTGAAGTTACGATAAGTAATAAGGGTATCTATATCTTGAGTTCTGTGCCAAGTCAGTTAGCTTTTTTTCGCTCAGGGGTCATTTAAACGCTTCTTATGAGACTTGTGTTTTGGTAAAAATGGTTCGTATCGTCAGTTAGCTGAGATTCTTCCCGTTAATCTGGTATGACACATTAATAGGTTTTTAAATGTTAAGAAGCCCCGAGACACAGTCTCGGAAAAAAACTTTCACGAGCACCGATTGGGGGGGCCCTCGTGCTTAATAAGCCTTTTTTTTTGGGTCAACACTTGTTGCAGGATTCCAATATTAACTTGCTGAACATTGTGCTCGAGCAGAGATTATTTCTGGTTGCACAAGCTATTTTTTAACGAGACAAGATGTATCTAAATATTTTTTACACTCACTTTATTGTATTAAATTATACACGTGCCCATTTCAAAATAGCAGCCCAAGCCAATGTTTTTAAAATAGTTCTCTAATGCACAAAGTTAGCTTGATGTACTCCAACACCTACTAGTGAACGCTCCTAACAGACACGACTGACTGGGTTTATTCCCCCTCACCTATCGCAGCCTCCTGGCTTCTCTTTCAGACTCCAGAAGTGTCAGCACATCTCCCTCTCTGACGGGGCCCTTCACGTTCCTGATGATGGAGCGGTTGCTGTCGTCCATGAACTCAACGCGGACCTGTGTGTTCAGATGAAGAGACATGATTACAATTAGAAAGAGATGTACAGCTACACATCCTAGTAAGAAGTTAGTGTTCTACACAGGTATTACCATTATCTATATATTGCCATTTTAGTAAATACACAGAAGCTTGTTGAATGTTCAAATGTAATGGTGTATCATGACAAAATATACTTTATTGATCCCCAGGGGAAATTGAACTATGCAACATACTTTTACTATCCTACATGTGTTTAATACCTTTAGTTACCAAGAAGATTTGGATTAATAGTGTGATATATAATCAACCCTTAAAATACTTAAGTTACACCTGAAGTAAATTCTAGCTACCCTGCATTATACAAAGTCATTCAAACTAGCTGCACCTTTTACAGTTTTGATAACACTTAAATACATCAATATTTATAATAAAACCAAATGTTATAACTTATTCGGAAATGGGCCAATCTGCATAATGAGTACTTATAATAAGTACGTATTTTGCGTATATTTTATGCCAATACTTTTCCTTGAGTACCTTTTGATAGCAGGACTTGTAACAGAGTATTCCTTCACTCTTTTACTCAAGTAAAAGATGAGTACTTTTTCCACCTCAGCTTGTGACTAAAATGCAAGCCCTTACGTAGAATTGGGGATGTACTGCGTTTTTAAAATATAATTATGAAGGCTTTCGCTAAACAAAAGACGCGATCAGAGACAAGCCCTGTATTAAATGGGTAAAATGCTAGCCGTTAGCATACCTGTGTACATTGTCCCTGGGAACCAGTTCTTCCGAGCACCTTGGTGACCTGTTAAAAAAAAAACACACAAGTTATAATGTAGATACGATATGTTAAATTAAGCTTGTTTTCTTGTGTGAACTCGAAACAGTATCGAACAGTCTACAACAGGCTAACAGTGAACTAGCGGGCAGGCTGTAGCATGGACAGGCCTCCATGTTGGAGGCATGAGCGCCGTGTGCCTCCGCTAAACTATGTTCTAAAGTAGTTTTAGCTTCAATATTCTAGGACCGTATATTACATTATTCGTTACTGTAGCCCTCTATCCGTTCGGATATGATTATTTTCGCCTTATTATGCATTTTCTTACTCTAGCGAGCTTGATCGGCTGCACGCGGCTGGCGTCCATGTTGTCAGGTTAGACCGGAAAGGATGTCACTTGGTGCGCGGCAGTGATATATAGTAAATGTAATTCTTGTTTGTTTTTTTTACGTCCCAATTTTGTTTAATATGTTATCAAATTAAAACAATCATATATCAAAAATAAATGTATAAATAACACGCGATATTCTTTTTAAATAATTGAAATAGTATTTAAGATGCCCACTTCCTTTTCCGGGGAATGGCCAACACCATTCACACACTTTCATGGGTGGAATCCAGGGCTATACCATTCATCCTTGTATTGTAATCTTTTCTCCAATAGCACTTATTTTAACTTTTTATTTGATTGAAATTTAATATGGAATGTCTCTATAAGGTCAACCGTATTTTTAATATTCATGCCGTTGTTAATTATTGCCTGTTTTTTTTATTGTATTTGTTCAGAGACTACACATATTTTCCCTTTCTCTATTGCAGCATCAAACACATAGGCCTATTTATTTTTTAAGGATATTCTAATTATTAGAGTGCATAGTTAAACTTAATCATAGTTTTATTCTATACACTGTAATTTTGTTTCGTTTAATCAAAATGTGATTTAACTTTGACTATGCTTGACTATGTTCTGAGAAACTAATGTAAATATCCATTTAAAATGAATGCTCCAATGCCAAACAGGAATTATATTATTTATAACAAAAATATATTTCCTAACATGATGAGTGTAACATTTATACCATTTATTTATTCTGTGACTTTAATTGAAATACAAACTCTGGCTTATTTTGACTGTTATTTGTAGCTGTACACTATAGCCAGTGTAATATAACTGCAGCATTAAAATGAATTCCCTGTGCTAAAGCCTCTTCGTAGCATTGTTAGCTTTACAACACTGTGATCACAGCACTCTCTCCGCCTCTCTCAGAACTCAAAGCCTTAAATCACAACACTAATCCTCGTGAACAGTATTTTTAACTTGCGTTTGGACAGAAAGAACAGCAATAGGATTAGAGAATCAGTAAAGAGGCTGAATCCCTCACTCATGCTGTTGATCTTCTTGGACACTGAGAGACAAGCACGGTCGCTCTTTCTTCACATTTATTTCAACCTGAAAGCATTTTTTTCAGAGGACGATATTAAGCCTTAATGGAGATGTCTTTGAATACTTATTGTTTTTCACTGACTTGATTGACACAAAACCGTTGTTTGTTTGTTTTGTTTTTTGAGGATCTGTCACAATGGAGGCTTTAAAGCCCAATATAAAAGTGCTGAAAAAGCGTCGCTCGAGTCTTTTTGCAACCATAAAACGGGAAGTGAGTTTCTCACACAGCATTGAAGACCAGGATTGTGAGTTCCCCTTTTCACAGGACAGCTCTATAAAACCATGGACATCTATGGAAAACCTTGATGCACCTGATGAGAAAAAAAAGACAGGAAAAGATCAGAAAAAACCTGCGAAAAATCCTAGGAAATCAAACATTGTCAACCTTAATGTAGGCGGAAAGGTATTTCACATTCCGACGCATTTGATCCTCAAACACCCAAAAACCAGGATTGGAGTCCTTGTCCTCTGTAAAGATCCGGTCAAACGTCTGACGCTCTGTGACGATTACAACGTTCAGAACAACGAGTTCTTTTTCGACAGGGACCCCATGTTTTTCCACTACATCTTCCACTTCTACTGCAGTAATGTCCTGTGGGTGATGGATAGTCTCTGCCCTGTCAACTTTGAACAAGAGATGTCATTCTGGGGGTTAAAACTGAAGGACACTCCAAGGTATGCAGTAGATACTGAATATTTACTATGTGTAAAGTAGAGGTTGGTCTGTTGCTTTTTGTGTAATTTAAGCGTACGTTTCTCTTCAAAATAGACAATACATTTTGTTCTTCCCAGGTGCTGCCGCATTCATTTTGAGGAGAAAATAGACGACATCAGAGACCAACTGAAGGTGAACCAGGAGTTGATCGATGAGATTAAGCCTCACCAAGATGGCGAGGGATACAAGAAGATGTTTCTCGGAGGCTTAAGAAAGATCCTCTGGGACTTGATGGAGGATCCTTACTCCTCACTGTCAGCAAAAGCATTTGCCGTGTTTTCCAGTCTCTTTGTGCTCATCTCCATTGTTGCCATGACAATGAACACAGTAAATGAACTGAGGCAGTACAAAATTGGAGACAAAACCTACATGGAGTGGGTAGAGATATCTTCCATCCTTTTCTTCACCTTGGAGTACTTCTTGCGTTTACTCACCACATCCAACATCAAGCATTTTCTGAAGAGTGCCCTGAACTTTGTTGACGTGGTCGCTGTAATGCCCTACTTCCTCCAGATCATGTTTGAGACATTTGTAATGGACTCAGAAGACATTGGTGCAAAAGAGGATTTGAAGGCCATGGCGAGGGTCAGCAAAATCAGCAAGGTGCTCAAGGTGGTCAAGTTGATGCGCATCTTTCGTATTTTGAAGCTTGCTCGTCACTCAACAGGCATGAGGGCTTTTGGCTTTACCATCCGACAGTGCTCTGAGCAGGTATGGAGGAGTATCACACAAGGCAAATATATGAGAAACACAAAAATACTTTTTTATTGAGGGGACATGCACAAATAAAACAATGGATCCCAGCTAACTCACATACGAAGTTAAGGCTATAATAATTTATTTGAAATAAAAGTAAAACTACTCATATTAATGAGCCTGACACAGAACGATTACACCCTTTAGGGTCTTTCAACTCATGATTTTTGTTTTCACGCCTGCCACTTCCTGCCAAGCTCTTAACTGCCAAGAGACAAAGTTTACTGTTAGCTAGTAAACAAAGTGGTGCATTAAGCAGCTAAAAAGCAGATATTTCCCTCAAGAGTGCGCAGAGACCATAACAAAGCCAAAAGCAGATGCTAATGTTGCTTCTTCATCATTAAGCTAACAAGTCACTGTATCAACTTTATACAGCTTTGTATGATCATAACATTCAAATATTTTGAGCTTATGTTCCCTGCCGCCTAAATCCCCCCAAAATCCATTGATGAATGTGTACTGTTTATCCTGGCAACTTGATAACTCAGGACCCACGAAGAGTTATGTAAACCTTAGCCATTTTTAAAAGAGAAGAAGCACAGTAAAGGCTTTGTTGTTTTTAAGTCGAGGTGGTAAAAAGTAATTACGTTTTAAGGTGTTCTTGGCAAACTGAAACTGAAAATGTTGCTATTCATTTAAAAAAAGATCTGCGTGACCATTTTGTAGTAGTTCATGTACAATATTTAGGTATTTTAGTTCAGTCATAATAGAGCTTAAAATTGTCATGTGACTTGCTGGTTGTCTTACATTTATGAATAGATCTCCAAACATGATTGGGCACAGCTGTTTACATGTACTTTTCTGTCACTATGTAGGTGTGCTGTCTGTTTCTGTTCATCGCCATGGGCATCTTCACCTTCTCTGCTCTGATGCACTCTGTGGAGATCGATCAGCCTGGAACACCGTTCACCAGCATACCAGACGCCTGGTGGTGGGCAGCGGTGAGTGGAATAAACGTCAACGTCCAAATCATCCTAAACTCTGGTTCTTGGTTTATTTTCTTGACCTTGACTAGAGGTAGAACTCTATTTTTGCTGAAAAACATTTGTATCATACAATCTTAGCTGCATCCAAATAGTAAAGTAAATAGTGTAAAGTCAGTTATTTTTCCCCTTTCTTACCATTTTCCTTGACCTTGGCGGACACGTCATGAAACAACATGTTTATATGGTACCAGGTAGCATGTGAATCACTATTATTTGTATGGAACAACTAAAGGTACTAAGCATTTAGAAGATGGGACCAACTAATGGTAACTCTAATCTTCTTAGCTTTATTTGTTTTTAAAGCACTAAATGGTCTGGCTCCGGCCTATATAGCTGAACTCCTCCAGCGCTACACCCCAGCCAGAGCTTTAAGGTCTGCTGTCCAGCTGCTGCTGATAGTGCCCAAGACCAGGCTCCAAACCCGAGGGCACCGAGCCTTCGCAGCAGCTGGCCCTAGGCTCTGGAACACTCTGCCCCATGTACCCCTTTCACACCAAGGCTTTTCCCCTTCTAGCTCCGTGCTAGAGCTTTTCTGGTTCAGAACCGGTTCTTCGGTTTAGCGCCGGCTCTTTTCACACCGCTCAGAGCCCGACTGGTGCTGCCGCTGCTGCGTCATGACGTCACAGTTTACGTCGCTGATTTTCTCCCCAACGGAGCTCACCTCACAACAACAACGGGCCGGGGACTGCGTCGGGTCGATGATCGTGTTGCTTTTAATCATACGAAGCCAGATTAAATTAAATAACGACTTCTCCAACCTTATACTTTTCTCCAGAGTGCCGTGGTTCATTGTTTATTAATGTGTTTCAGCGGCATTTACCGACCGCTGCAGTGCTGGCTGCTCTTCCACGGGAGTTTATTCTCCCGTTAGCTCCGGGTTAGCTCACACGGCTCTAAAGTATTCACTGTCTGACTGTCACACAAGCAGCTGATACATATCCCCAGTTCCCCTTAAGTGAATGTGTGTCAGTCTGAATTGACGCTGTTTGGCATCACAACGCTGTTATGAAAGTTTCTCTGGTATAACATGGGTGATGTTAGCATAGCAACCGAAGCTAAACTGACTACTTGCTAAGCCGTTTTCTGCAGGCACTTTTTACCGGCGTATTTTTCATTATGATTCTATTTCCAATTTCATGCACTGTCATTTAGGGTCATTTGGGTTTTATTCATCTGGTGGCAGCTGTTACTGATATGTGTCTAATCCCTTCTAATACGGTGTAATGCATCTTGTTTGTGGCTAGACACAGTGATTGCATTCGAGAGACGGAAAGTGTTGAAGAGAATTTGTGGATGTTTATTTGATCCTCTTAACTCTCATCTTAGCAACACATCAACTGATCAGTACAAGAAACATTTTAATTATTGCACTCTCCAAGGCCAAAGGGCATTTTAGGATAGACTGAAAGGCACGATGAGGATGAGCATTTGCTCTTTGGGGGTAAAAAGGGAAATCCCAATTTTACATTCTTCCACCATGATCTAAAGGTCTTAAGTTATCATTTTCAAAAAAATAATCAAAACAGAGGCACAGGAGTATTGAGCATGGGGATCCTGCCCCTTGCTCTTGCATTTTCTTATTTCAAATAGTGCTGCATGTATGCTGACTCACTTTACTCTTTTCCTACAGGTGAGCATCTCTACTGTGGGCTATGGGGATGTGGTCCCTATCTCCTATCTGGGCCGCTGTGTGGCGTTTGGATGCATCTCTTTTGGCATCATCCTCAACGGCATGCCCATCTCCATCCTGTTCAACAAGTTCTCAGACTATTACGCTAAACTGAAGGAACAAGAATACACATATTCAAACACTGTGCGCTCATTCCAGCTCAAGAAACGTCTGAGGCGCAAGTTTGACAACTGCTTCGAACCCCAGCTGGAGGAGTCTGACGACGAGATTCACTATCGGCCCATTGGAAGGCAAACTGTCCACGAGAGTGAGGATTTAGCTGCCCAATAGTTTAAACATTGCGCATTCTGAAAGGCCTTATCACCAATGGGTGGGGAAATCGTGAGACAGTGTCTGCCTCCCAACTTACAGCCTACGTGATTTAAGACAATCCAGGGGAGGGGGCAATGGAGGCGGTGGCAAGTTGAGATAAGCTTTAAGCTTCAGCTTTGCAGTAGGTACTGTTTGCACGCTATGGCCGATGACTCCTCTGTCAAATAGACAAGATGCTCCTGCTGGACAGCTTGTTGTCGGCTTCCAGGAATAGTACTCGACTGCTACTAATTCCAGCTTAACTGAAATAGATGGTGGACACAAGGAGGAGATCAAGGAATAACATTATTAAGAAGCAATGTCATACTTTAATCAATTTAACAGGAAGTGCTATACATGGTCTATTTTAAACAGCTATAGTCTCTTGACATTCTTGATTTTCCACACAACTGCAGTATAGCCTTGATTTAAATACCAGCCAGTTTTAGCATTGTAGTCATTGCCTTCTACTTTTCTAGTCTAAGAAAATACAAATGTACAAGCAATAAAACCTCACAGATTTCTGTGAATGCATCATCATGATATTATTGACAAATAAAGCATTTATTTCTCTGTCTAGTCAGCGTGCTCTTGATGTTGTGAGGGGAGGAGAGGTGAACCAGGGTCTATCACAGGAACAAACACGTGCAATAGTGTAATTTTTTTTTTGTCAAGGATTACCAGGATTTGCGCTTAGGCCTCCTGCCCAGTCAGACAACGGCAGAAGTCATGTGCTGTGACTATTTTGATGGCACAGATAATCGGATCAGGTGTGCACCAATTTCGGAACCGGTTTAAAGGTGGGGTAGGTCATTCACTTCAGAAACACTTTTTGTTATATTCCATAGAATGCTCTTAACATCCCGATAGCAATGAATACATGAAATGCTTTGACAATAAATACATTAAAAAAAAATGTCATCTGTGGAAGCCGTGGCGCTGTAAAAAGCACGACTAATTATTTTAGCCGGCCCGGCTAAAATAACTGGATGGCCTACCTGCCTGTCAGCCTTTCATCTCGTGCACAAACTTATCTCGTGCCCTCATTGGTCATGTGCGCGTTCGTGTGTGGGAGGGGCTCTGTAAGGAAGTCTGAAGGAAGGGGCAGATTTTTTTCGGCTGCGTCGTTTCAAATTCTAGCGCACTCGAGCTGGTTTCTCCATTCTTACCTACCCTACCTTTAAGATGGGGCAAATAAATAAAAAGCTAAATCTTATCAGACGATATCTGATGGGTTCCAAGATTGCATTTCAGTCAATGCATTTTGCTTATTGAGCTTTTTAAACAGACTGTTTTCCAACTTTCAAGCAGCCTGCTAACACTTATTGGGTCAATACTAATTGGACTGCAAGTGGAAACCAGAAAACTTCCAATACCAAAATCTTGTCCTATTGCCTACAGATTATGCATGTGTATGTAGATATCTATTCATGTAGGTTTGGACAGATTATGAGCTGCTTTCAGGAAGGATGGAAGTAACATTTGATAAAGAAGGAAAAACTACTTTTTGGGCTACATGGGCATTGTCAATTACTGTATTAAAGTCATTCAACATGTCATTATTTGGCTTGATAACAACAGGGAGGGAGAGCTAAACTCTCTTGACCGGAGGTGTGAGGATCAAGCATGACCCTGTCCTGCGTTCAAGCCGTGACCTGCCGGCTTTGCTTGGCTAAGACCAATAATGAGATTCCTGTCCTGGGCAGCAGTTCTCTGAAGACCAGAGAGCTATGAAGCACATTTATATTGTATTGATTATTCACTAAATGCAATAGACCACGATTACAGTTTACTCTTGAACATATGTTTATGTAGATTTACACACCTTTTTCAACTGAAGAGGTTCCTCCACTCATGGCAAAACACCCAGCACATGCACTGGTTGCATTTGATTTAGAAAAGCAGAGCCCTGTAAAGTATTAGCTCCCGACTTCTCCCATATGAAACACCATTTCTGCATATTTATGAGAAGTTTATAAGATGTATGTTCAATGAGATGATGTGAAAATCATCAGATTAATATAGCTATTTTCCCGAGTTTTCTGTATCTACAAAAATAATTGCTGAAGGAAAATATCTATGTCCAGTTTCTGTGTTTTTTGACAGCTTTAGTGCTTTAAAATATGTTACTGTATGAACTTTAGTCAGAAAGTGCAAACAAAAGCTGGCCAAAGAGTGTTCATTTATGATATGTATTTCATAATACATATTATTATGTAGCTTGTAAAAAGTTATAATTCATATATCATCTTTGTCATACCAGAAAAAGTGTGACTATACCTCGTACACAAGCATATCACTTTGAATGAACTTAGAGCAGTATACATGACCTAAAAGGTCCTCTATTATGCAAATTATGCTTTTTCATGTCTTTGAAAAAAACTTGTGTCCCATCCGCGATAAGAAAATTAGTCGGAAAGTTTCAGGAAAAAAGATTCTCTCTCTTTTGAAGTCACAACTGTTTTTTGGGGTTGGGCGAAAATTAGACAATATCCAACGAAGGTAACCACCTCTTCCTAGAGCACCAATTGTGTTTTTTAAAATCCAAACACTTTGCAGAGAGGCGTGGGGAGTGGCAGCTCATTTGCATTTAAAGCAAAAGACACAGAATCAGCACTTTTGAAACAGTGCTGAAACAGAGGGGTATATGACATGCTACAACGCATGATCTGTTTGGTTTTTGTATCTGATATATATCAGATATATGTATATATCTGATATATATCAGATATATGTATATATCTGTTTTTTGTATATATCTGAGACCTATAATATATATATGTATATTTTTGAAAAAGAGTATAATAGGGGACCTTTAAGCAATACGTTTTAGCTTAGAGGTGTGGTTCACACAGCACGCAACACTGCTAACTTTTTTTAGGGCAAATTTAAGTCGCCACAAACTTCTGAGGGCAATATCTAGCTGCTAAATAATCCACTGTGTTACCAGCTAGTTGCTATTGTTCCCTTTCTGCTGTTTGGTGCTGGGCAGGTAGCAAACACTCATTTTTATCAGAGCTGTAAACAACTGTTGCTGCTAATCAAGGTTGATGATGGCGGTGACAGAACAGTCCTAAAAACAAAAACAATCAAAGCTAAAATGCTATGTAGGAATGATTGGAAGTGAAAGGTTTTTACACATAGTCAAGGTTCAAGGTTCAAGGTTCTTTATTGTCAAACTGACATAGCTACAGAGTAATTATGTTGTTGAAAATCTTATGTCACAGGCTTCTCCAACAATGCAACATAATAACATAATAACAATACAGATAGCAAGAGCAATACAAAAAGAAAAATAGTTATAAAATAAAGTGATGATGTGGAATAGTGCAGTACGAATCTATATACAAGTTATTGGAATGATATATATTAGATATTAGATACATATTACTGAGTAGCAGATGAATGATTTGAAGTTGTTTCAACAGTTCAATTGTTTAACAGTCTCACTGCCCGCGGGAAGCAACTGTCTCCGAATCTTCTTGTATACAAATAATGGAGTCATTTACTCCATTGTTTGTATATTGTAAAAATATCAATTTGAACTTTTTAACTGAAATAAACTTTAAGACCTTCTACAGGAAATACACATTAGGAATCTGTGAGTCAAAAATAATAAACAGGTAAGATTGTTATTTTCAATTCCTTATCCTGCTATCTAATAAACCAAACACTGCTTACCCTTGAAAAGAATAAGAGATATAATTGCAATCAAGACAGAAGTACATTTAAGATGTTAAACTGCCACCTTCCATATTTGTCATCAATGCTGGGAAACAGTCATCTCCGTCATGATTATGCAACCACAGTACGTCCTGGGGTGACCATGTGTGTGAATAGTCAATATCCTTGACATAACTTCGCACATCGCTCTCTGTTCCAATTAGCTCCATCCCTCAAGATGTGTCAAGATAAGGTGCAAAAGCAACACGTATTCAAGTAGTTCACGGTAACACAATAACATGAATTTGGACTTTTCAGAAATTCCAAATTAATATAAGTAAATGCTACAGACATAAAAAGAGTGGGGAAGAAAATGAAAAACCCTAAAACAACATTAGGATCTGTAAGCACAGGGTTTATAAGCTATCTCACTTTTCCTCTTTACAATTCTTAAAAATGACCAAACTCAGACCTGTGTTGGGTTCCAAAGAGTGTCAAAGGCCAAAATAATTTGCTAATTTTTCGGACTTCTCTGACTGATACCCCAATGTTTTTAAGATTGACCCTGTCAGGACAGGTTTTTAATCTCAATGAGAGTTTCAGCCTTGAGGAGACTTTGCATCATTCTCAGGCTAAGCACTAGATCAGGACATACTTTTCCTTCACCAAGGCTAAATACATTTTTTGGAAGATTCTGTGGCCTCAGCATTTTTGAAACCACATTGACTATAAAAGCCCCCTCAAATTCATCTCATAAATCACCGGCGTGCATCCTTCTTGCTCACTGCACATCCCATCCTCACCTCTCAACCACCAGTCCATTTGGTTCCTTTCTCCACTGACCACCCTAGGATCTGAAACAGTCTTACAATGTCTTCTGCTAAGTGTTTGGTGTCTCTGATGGTGGTGCTGGTGGCTGCTCTGTGTGTGGTTCATGCAGAGGAGAGGATCCAGTTGTGTGGGAGAGACCTGATTCGTCTGGCCGTGTCGCACTGTGGTAACTCTCGGCTGAGGAGAAGCATCTCGTACGTACATCTGGGGCAGCATCAAAACACATGTAAGTGTTTTATATGAAATATTCAAACAACGGTTGCATCATTCTATACTGTAGTAGTTATGAGATATTTAACACTTAGAGAAAGATTTGAGCGCTAAACATAGGATCACTACTGTTCTTATTTAACTGTTTGAATGTCTGACCTCTGTTTAAGCAATATATGATGCACAATATAATTTGTATTCACTATTCAGGCAACATCTCTTGTTTGTGTTAACTCCAAACCAGTGTATATGTTTCCTTTTGAGTTTCACAAGAA